ACACACACACACGCTCCAAATTTCAAATCATTCTGATTTGTAAAAAAAAAATGAAAAATGAAACACTATCGAACAATCGTGACCATGCGATGAACTTTGGATGGTGATGAGGGTAGGCTAAATCACTGTTCATTTTCGCCTACAGGCGTTGGGAAGACCTTTCCTACATGGATTATATATATATATATATAAATAAAAGTGATTTCATGCAAAGGTTGTATAGTAATATAATGAAACAATATTCAAAAACGATACTAAGGTCATTTATTTGACCCAAATTTTGAAATACACACTTTTTTCGTTGTAATGAACAATTACAAATAAAATAAAATAAAAAAAAAACCTAAAAAGAGTTTTTTTTAGCCCAATTAACATACAATATCCATTTTGGTGAGATTCATAGATCTAAGCCCTAGAATAATGTTTTTTCTTCTTAAATTTTTTAGATTACTTTATTATCATTAGATTAACAACGTTAAAAAAGAAAATTTTGATTTTGAATCCATATATGCCTAAATCTTAAAATTCACCTAATGGACGGTTTAGATACATTCGTTTTTTTTTTTAGATTGATTATTGAAATGAAGAGAGTGTATGTAAAATTTTAGATCACACAAATACCACATATATGGTTTTCTAAAATAATGGTTTCATTGTATTATAATGGCATAATGACATGATATTATTCACCACAACCCTCCCCCACCCCCACCCCCACCCCCCCTCCCCCCACCCAGACACACACATACATATGTATAATGAATTAAAATGAGAAACAAAGCCTAAAAAAAATTAGATCTCACTGGAAAATGCTCCAAAAACATGAAACGCTTTTTAGAGGATGGGATTTCTTTGAGTCAGCCGACTCATACTGTACATATGCGGGCCACCATTAAAACATCAAAAAAATGAATTTTTTAATCTAAAATTTTAGAGATTCATGACCTAGGTTAAAAAGGGTACATTTTAAAGATGGACGTTGGTGAGATAGAAAATATTTTTGTGGAAAAATAGATTTTACGCTCTAAAAGGACCTATTTGTAACCATTTTTCTAGGTGTTCCATCTCAAATATTCACATGTGCCAAACATATAATATTTTGGAGCTTCAAAAAATTCAACATTCAAGGTAATATTAGATTTTCATGCTTTAGTAAGTTTTTTTTCTAGAAAAACCAAACTCTTCACATATCCGCCAAACATGCACTATTTCTTGAGTTTCAAATTCTCCACTCCATATTGAAAACAGATTTTCAAGTTGTCATAAGTTTTTTTCCAACACCATGCCTTATTTTCCCCATTTGGATCCCTGGCAAACTATTTTAGAAATAATTTTCTTAGGAAATTGCTGATTTTCGCTATTTGGATCCAAAACTTATGGCGAAAATGTTTTTTCCAAAAATCGTCTCATCTAATTTGAGGCCCGAAACAAAAAAATTATTTTTGTCTTACAAGCTAAAAAATTAATTTCACAGGCTGATTTTCTTATAAGGCCAAGTGATAAATAAAACAAGCGTACATCAAGTTGTGACCCGCACAGAGGGCAATGTCTTCCTATTTGTCTCCTTCACCCCTCCTCCTCTCTCTCCTTTCTAACCCAACTCTCTCTCTCCTCACTAAACCAACTTCCCTGACCCAGCTCATTCTCTGTCTCTCTGAAATCCTTATTATCTTTTTCTTTTTATCTCCATCATGTTTTTCTCTCTTGAGATTCACTATATTTTTCTTTTTATCTCCATCATGTTTTCCTCTCTTGAGATTCACTATATTTTTCTTTTTATCTCCATCATGTTTTCCTCTCTTGAGATTCACTATATTTTTCTTTTTATCTCCATCATGTTTTCCTCTCTTGAGATTCACTGCATTTAGCCCTATTTCATGATAGAAATGTATCTTCCGAAGTACATCCATATGCTCTCATAGCAACAAAAATTTATTTTATGGGAAATATACTTCACATGAATTTTTTTTTTTTTTGGAACCAATAACAAATTTATTGCACCAACATTAACTAGTACACCAAACAAGAGTTATCAACAACCTTTACAATACATCATTACATATGAGAAATTAAGAAAGCGGTAAAAAATCTAAAGAATTACAACATTTAATTCTTGAGAAAATTTCGTACAGAACCCTAATTCTCCATCTTATTTCATGGTAGATCCTCCTTCCATTTTCTTTCAAGCGTCAAAAAAAAATCCCTAAAGATTTCACCATACCCCCTCATCATTTATCCCCCTCATTTATTCACTTTTGACCATAAAAATTAGCCTCAACAAACTTTTTTATACCATTTCAACAAAAAAACGTTCCAAAAAAGTTTCAAAAACTTTTTTAACCCACCCCATTATATCTTTTAACCCAAAAACGTTTCAAAAATATTTTTTTATTATATTTTTTACCTTTTCAGCTCCTCAATACCACGTGGAGGGCTCCCTATCTCTCTCTCTCTCTTTTTCTTTTCTCTCTCTCTCATATTAGGTTGAAATTGTATAAAAAGTTTATTGGGACTAATTTTTATGGTTAAAAGTGAATAAATGAGGGAGATAAAAGATGAGGTGGTACGGTGAAATCTTTAGGGATTTTTTTATGCTTCATGAAAGAAAAATAAAAATAGGATTTACCATGAAATAAGGTGGGGAGTTAGGGTATGCAATTTTTCCTTAATTCTTCAGCATCAACTCCAGCTTTCGCTAAATGATCTGCCTGCATGTTAGATTCTCTATATACATGCATCATAGCTATTGTCATACTATAGCACTCCTCAATCACATCCCTAATCAATTCATGTAGTCTTTACGGTAATTCCGTCTCTTTCTTGATCCACCTAATAACATTCAACGAGTCATCTTCCACCACCATAGGTTTGTTAAATTGTTTGAGCAATTTAACACCTTGGAGCATGGATCTCAATTTTTGCTTCATTGACTGTGATCCTCCCTCGCCCAAAATATTTAAGAAAAACATTCCCTATATAGTCTCGAACAATACCTCCAATTCTAGCTGGGCCTGGATTCCCCAACGAACTTCCGTGGAAGTTCAATTAGACCCATCCCTCTTCAGGTGCCTTCCATAAACCCACCCTAGTTTCCTTAACACTTTCTCTTACTAACAGCTAGAGATTGTACCTAAGGTGATGTAAGGATTGAGATTTTTTATCGTGCTTTATTTATGTATTTTGTCCTCATGTTTTTTGTACCAATTAAAATTTTTGCCCGATCTTGATTTCGGACCTTGTCAGACTCTGTAGGGGCCTAAAAATCTCGGCTGGTGTAGAACTCACCATTTTGGATCCGCTTAGGTCTTTGTCATAGAGGAGACCTCAAACTTTTCAGTGGTATGCGACACGCTTGATTCCAAGTTAGCGCTAGAAAGTTATGGTCTGTGTAGTCTGACCACCCTATGGACTTAAAATTTGAACCCCCGCGTCGCGCCAGTGCATATCCCTAGGCATGTGGAAACGCTTTCCAATGCTTATGATTAGTCAATCAACACCCATGCACCATCATTACACTCTTGCACACACACCCATGCACCATCATTATAC